CGGCTTTAGATTCTCAGTGTTGTGCTTTAACCCGCTGCGCCACCAGGGAGGGCCGGCCACTCTGTTTTTTAAGAAAGCTGGTTCACTGTCCTGTCTTTGTAAACTGGTCTGTCTCTCACACACATATATGTGCATATATTTCTAGTTTTGCAGAGAAAGAACTAAAAATATGTGGTGATGGTGATTCAACTTTTATGTTTAATTTTGATGAAGATATGTTGGTATCTGCTTTTTACCTATGTAAAGAAATCTGGTTCCCTAAAGAGGGAAGACAAGGGGGTGACGAGACACGAGATAAAAAACACTTCAGTGTTTACCTTTCTACATAATTTTGACATTTTTACACCATTGTTGAACTTTACCTGTTTCACTAGAAGCATCTTGTCAGTGTGGCAAATTCCTCTGCTACACTTTTTGATTATGAATTATCTTTGCATTCCCTCAACTGACAAAACTATTTGGGTCATATGTGCATGTGAACCTTTGTGATGGTGGATGAGAGAGCACAGCAGAAATCTGACTACCAGTTCATTGTCATTAGTAGTCACTGATTTACTGAGGTGTCTTCCTTCATGTTGAGATAATTTTGGATGGTTTTTCTTTCCCCCTAAATTTTCTAACGTACTGCGAGAAAGCTGGTCATTGTATTCTTACAACTTAAAAAAAAATAATTCTACCACACCTCCATCTGCTTTTTGTGTGTAGTCAGTGTCTTTTGCCTTCTCCCTTTCTTCTTAGTCATCTGAGGGTTGTCTATTTCACTAGCCCTTTTACTTATTTACTTAACTTCTTAAAAGGACAGGTTTAGGGGACCTCCCTGGTGGCACAACAGTTTAGGATGCAGCACTGCAGGCTGTCTGCAGCCACTTCAGTGCGAGTTTGATCCCTGCCCAGAGGTGATACTACCACATGGAGTGGCAGGCCGCTCCACACACACCCGCTGCTCCCCTCAGCAGTGTGCTTCGTCCATCTGCCTGTTCTGCTCCCCACTCTGTCTCTGGTGAATCCTCTCACCCCCCCTGTGCCTCTGGCTTGTACCCTAGGTCTGTATGAATGAATAATAAATAAATCTTTTTTTTTTTTTGAAAAAGGACAGCTTTACTAGGAAAGGAGAAGTAAAAAAGACAGGCACAGGTGGGCAAGAGAGTTGCTTTACTAGCCCCTTTAAAACACCAGCTTATGTTTATTCCACCTACCACACCCCTTACCATTAATGTAGAGAGATGTAGCTGTCTGCTCTTAGTTACTTGCTTCCTTC